ATACATATTTTGCCTTGAAAAGAGAGAAAGCGGAAATGTCGAGTGCCAAAAGTGCAAGCAACGCAAACAGACCTTATGTGTGCACTGGGTGTATGCGCGCGCATGTTTATACACATGTATATATACATGTGTGTATACATATAATGACCTTGAATTTGACTATTATGCTTAAATGCTTTTATATAAAATAGAGTTATCTCTTTTTTAAACATTGCAGCTCTTCTTAAGAAGCTAAATGCAGACGAATTTATTTAAGTAGCTTCAATATTTGAAGTTGAGTCAGATCTCTCATAACTATTATATTTTTATTGAGTATAAATATAATTTTCATTTGAAAACAGACTTACATTATAATCGTTTGTTGATTGATGCTTTTTGATATTTTTTATTTTGCACTACAGTTATAAGAATGACAAAAGGTTATCTCATAAATGTCTATTTTCTATATTAATGAAAGCAGATCATGACTATTTAATAAAACGAGGAGATAATGGATGGAACACGAGCAGCAGAAGTATTGCCATTGCTGCAAGAACGTTTGGCAATACTACCAGGTGGAAGGGATCGTAGAGGAGGACCTGTGCTTCTGTTTCCAAGTACACCGAGACGCGAACGTGCAAAACCCGAGGATTACAGACGTCTTCTACAATATTTGTTTGCCATCCCGAGTGATGAAGCTAGGGGCTTGCGATTTACCGTGATTGTGGATATGCGTGGTACAACATGGGACTCGGTCAAACCAATTCTGAAGGTTACATCCTTTTTCTTAATGTCTGCATTAAAAAATGTCATTTGCCTCCCAACGATTTTGTGAAATTACATGCAAATATCAAGTGTAAAAGTGTAATTTACAAATATCTTTAGGTGCTACACGAGCATTTTCATCGTACAGTTCATGTAGCTTTTCTTATTAAACCAGACAACTTTTGGCAAAAACAGAGAACTTCATTGGGTAAACAGAAAAAATATAATTTTGAGGTAATTAAATTTGAATTATTTTGTATGCGTCGTAACTCTAATTATATTTCAATTATTATATTTATATTTATATTTATATACAATATTTATATACATTATTGGCATATATAAAGTTGACTTTTCTTTTTAACCAAGTTAAGTTAAAGTTAACAGCTTTGAAAATTTAACTTAATCAAGATACAGGTTAATCCATAATAAAGTTAAAGTTGAGTTAAATGTTAAGTTAATAAAAAAAATTATTGAAAAGTTTATTTTATACATTTTGTATGATTTCAGGGTCTCAGTTGTTTAATTACGAAAATAACAAATACAGTTTAATTCTCGGTTTGTTTAGTTTAGAAAGATAATACATGTTTGATACTAGATACATGTTTTGTTTACATATACCTATTAAATTTAAGTAATAAAGCTATTTCGAAATTTCTTATTAAATCAGATATTTTTTCTCGAAAGTTGTCGAAAACGAGTCAGTTTCATGTACAAACAAATTTGCACGAGTTCGAATATTGATACGATATAATGTAAATCTACTTGTTGGTAGGCACGCAACGTTTCGCTACATCTTTATTTTCGCCGAAAGAATGGCTGACTTTAAGAAAGTTAAATTAAAGTTATTTAACTTTTCAACTTAACTCTTTAATAAAAATAGATACTACCCCATACTATCTAGATTTATAAATATTTATATAATGTTATCAACCTAAATTAATTTCAGATTAATACAATCAGCTTAGAGGCTCTTATAAAAGTTGTAGATCCTTCTCAGCTCACTGCAGATTTAGATGGATCCTTGCAATACGATCATGCCCAGTGGATCGATACTAGATTAGTTGTGGAAGATTTTATGTGGCAGGCAGCAGATCTTCTCGATCGATTAGATGACTTGCAAGAGGATCTCAGTCGAAATGACTTTGCTGATGATGTTGCGGGAGCCAAGCACGGAATTGATCTACATAATGAGATGAAAAAAAAAATCATCAAAGTCCCAGTGGAGGATATCCAAGTTGTTGGACAGCGCTTACTTCAGCGATTTAACGATGGTTAACATTTGTCACTTTTGTCTTTTTGAAACATGCATGTGAATACATATATGTATGTGTTTTCAGACACAACCAGTGGAGAAGGAGGAAGTATTGACTGTGGCGCGGCAAGTTGCACAGATTCTGATGGACGAGCACTGGCTACTTTGGTTATTCAGCATTTGGATTCTGTGCATGCAGCGCAACAGCATCTCTTACAATTATGGCACATCAAGAAGATGAAATTAGATCAATGTTTTCAACTCCGATTATTTGAGCAAGATTGCGAGAAAATGTTTGATTGGATTTGTCACAACCGAGAAGCGTTTCTCGCCAGTTACGTGGAGATTGGCCGCTCATATCAGTTGGCCAAAAATTTGCAGGAGGAACATAAACATTTTACAATGAGCTCGATGAATGTTTACGTGAATATAAATAAAATTCTCACAATGGCTGGCAAATTGCTGGAGACACAGCATTATGCGGCTGGGCATGTACGAGCGGTGGCAGGACGTCTGGATCAAGCTTGGAAGGAATTTGCCGCAGGTCTTGATGAACGTACCGCGGTACTTAGTTTAAGTGTAGTGTTTCATCATAAAGCGGAACAGTATGTTGATAATGTTGCTGGCTGGAGTCAAGCGTGCGAGATGAGTAATTTACCCAGTGAAATTCCAGTGCTTGAATCTCACATTCGCCAACACCAAACTCTTTATGAAGCAATGTGTCAGGCATATACAGAGGTAAAACTTTTTCTCCTATTCTTATATACCCTTTATCACTATTCAATATGACTCGGATTTAAAGCGTAACGTAATTATCTTGACAATGGATAAGATTATTTTTACGTTATTGTACATTATTCCAACTTTCAGATATTTCTTTTCGTTTTCATTGTAAATTTATCTGACATTTATCTGACAGGTTTACAATGCATATCAAGCATTATTGAGCGGCCTGGGTTCAATGCTGCAAGTATGTCATAATGTGAGCGCCCATTCTTCAGGGTCGGATACATTTCGCGTCGATTATGTACGAGAAATTTAATTTTTAAAGCTTTTGACGATGGAATCCATTGCTCGCTTGGTATTTGGGTGCTATTGGAAATATCTATCCGCAAATTTTCTGCAATAACATTTAAAGTAATCTTCTTATAACCCAGGCGTCTCAGTATTCTCGAACAGATTTTTGTATATAGGCGCATGTTTATTCGTTTATTATCGATATTCGTTATTACGATGTTGTTATTCTATTGTTTTTCGCAACGCGCCTTGATTAAAAATTAATTTAAACATTTATTTATCCTGTCATATGTGTAGTGTCATCCGAAATGAACATGTACACACACACACACACACACACACACATGCGCGCGCGCGTGTGTGTGCGTGTGTGTGTGTTTTTCTTAAGTGGGATTGGATAAAATTCTTATTTAGGTGCATAGTACCAGTAAGAAGCTTCTTTACCAACTGGATCATCTTGTGCAAGTCTGTAATCAACCGCAAGGAATTGACTATGTTGCCAGAAAACATGTACGTTAATTCGTGTTTAAAGGAAAAATCATTGTTTTCCTTTTTGTTAAAACTTTCCTCGTGATTGTGTTTTTATATATTTAATTTTTTAAGAACACAAAGTTTAATTTGTATATAGGATGATTTATCTAATGTGACCGCCACCCCTTATATCTTTGCAGATCAAATAAAAAATTAGCACATTCCACATGTCAAGGATCCACCTAAAAAAGAGAAATATATAATTTTTAAAATTGTTTCAGATTTTTAAAAAAAGGGTACAATTTTTCTTTTTATATGTAGAAAATACAAATTTTGAGACTGCGATGGAATCTCACAAGTGGATTCCATTGCGATCCTAAAATTTTTTTATAGTATCATATTTGAGAAGAATTTCTTCACATTTTTAAAAGAGATACAATTTTTTATTTACTTGCTTAACCTTCTATCTGTCTATGTACACGAGTGTAAGCACACCAGGCTAACAAAAATGTACCTAAATAAAAAGCCGGATGGAAAATTTTCAAGTTTTTTTTAGGAATATTATCGTGATATGTTAATGTTAAAATATTTCTACACAGAAAGAAGGTTAATATTGTATTGTATAATAAAAATAAGATTAGTTAGTTATTTTTTAAACTTTTTTTGTTAATAACTTTTTAACGGATAACGAATGACGGCTAAAACCGTCGATAATGTATATCAAAGTCATCGAATAAGTCTCCCCTAATCTTCATATTAGCCTATTCTTATACAAAACACATATGTCCGTATAGTCAGATCTTATGGATCTCACCAACTCCGGTTAACTTAATCGACCGATTGTTACTGATCAATCGATTTGCTTTTCAGCAGAATTAACCAATCATGTTGACACTTAATCGATCAATTAGATTAATTGATGTCGGAATTGATGAGACAGACTCTATATTTGTCTGCTTTCCCAAGTTCATCTTTAGATCCTCTGTAGCTAATAAAATAATTCGTGGAGTATCTGAGGATAAATTTAAGGAAGCCTGACTATGAATATGGACAATAATTGTTTTAAACTTTCTGTGTATAAATATTTTAACGTTAACATATCATAGATAGCATTTCTAAGAAAAATTTGAAAACTCCCATTCGGCAACTTTTTTATTTACGTTTTTATTGTGTTGCACCTTTTTTTAAAGGATAATGGGGATAGGGAGGGAAATGCCACGGGATATGTGGAGCTCGCACCCATTAAAACTCGGGTATCCATCATCAAGCCATGTGGGGACTGTGTGCAGCATAATTTCCTGGAACATCTCGGCCTGTCGGCTCACGGTTAACCCATATCCTGGGAAATTTGATAATAAACCGCACAACCCAAATTGAACTGTACTACTCTTCGACGAGGAGAGGGGACACCAGCTTCGTTTCCTCGCGGTATTTTGAGAGGGCGAAATTGGAGGGGCCCGGGAGTTCCACTAGGAGTTAAGAGGTTAATTACATCTCGTCTCCTTCCTGGCGGGAATCTTATTTGTCAGGAGGACGATGCAGTCCCCCCGCCTGCGCTAGATTGTGTCCCAGGGGCTCCGTCATCGCCACTCCCTTGCTCCCTTGCGATTTTGAAGAGACGGAATCCAGCTGGAATCCCGACTGTTTCCTCTTCCTTACTCAGTTGTTGGTCCATCAGAGTACAATCTATGGGGAAAGCCGCCTCCTCAGTGACCCCACTTCTTTCTCTCGGTCCAGTGAGAGACTGACAAAGAGGGGATGGTAACTCATTGATGCCGGGCAATGGTTTGCTCGGGTGTCTTCCCTCCTATTGCAGATAGGGGGCAATACGGGGAAGCATCGCACTCCTCAGCGACATACTCTTTCATCACACACAGGGATGTAATGCACTCCTGTACACAGACAGAAAACTAAAACATTGTTTTTTTTCTATTTCATATTATTAAATTTGTTTCATTAAAATTAACGTTTTTGTCTAAAAATCGAGAAAATTCCAAAAAATTCATGTCTACAAAAATTTTGTATATTTTGTATCTTTTTTTAGCTATAAATGTTAAAAAAGACAAATTTCTTAAAACTTCCTTCAATGCAAGATATACAATACTTGTTGACTTTTAATCTTACAATATTAATCTTACACTAACACGTTTTCATGATCATTTAAAAAATTCCAAACATTTTATTTTTACATGGAGAGTATTATGGAGGAGAACAAGTAATAATAAAATTGATTTTTTTTTTATCAATTGTTTGAAATTGTATGAAGGTTATTGTCATTTTTAAAAATGGATTTTTTTTTTATATAAGATGATTCTTTTGATTATTTTGCTTATAAAAATGGAGTTATCAAAAAATCAATAATTTATGAGATATTTTGTATTTAATTGGGGTATATTTTGACATGAAATAAAAAATATCTCGTAAATTATTCTTTTATAATTGTACCCATGGAATAATAAGGAGATCAAACTCAAGCAGCCGATCATGAAAAAAGGGGGATTTGAAACACGGTTACGATATATACAATAGCGCAATTCTCTGTCGGCATTTGTTTTGGTAATGTTGATCAAAATGTAACAACGCTAGATAACTTACTTATTTCACGCATGCGCATTTCATTTTGGCCAACATAAAATCAGGAGAATTGCGTTACTGTATGTACTATGACACGGTGTTGGAAAACTCATGAAAAATTCGACAGATGTGAATGTGCCATCACGCCTTGTGGGAAAAGTTGAAAGTATTGACTGTCACGTGGGCACATGTATGTATCTACTATATACCACACACACACACACACGTACGTGTGACATTTGCCGAATTTTCCATGGATTAAATTATCCTACGCCGTGTTTTAAGCCCACTTTCAGACTTCGAGTTTGATCTTATTATTCCGTGATTATATCTTTATACTTTTATGCGTGTGTAGAATAATGAAATAAATCAATTAGAATAAGAAAATACAAAGTTGCTTTTAAAAAAAATTATGCAATTCGCATATATGAAATTATATATTTTCTTTAGTAAACAATATATTTTCTTTACAGTAATTAATTTATTTTATTATTTTATACTTGAAAGTATCACATTTATTAAAAATTTAGTTTCCAAGATATTTTATATAATACTTTATGTCATATAATATGTCAGAATAAAGTATAAAATGTATAAATTTGATAAATTAATTAATTTTTTTTATAATTCTTCCTTAATGTTTTTATATATAGAGTAATTAAAATTAAAAGAATTATTTCATGAAAAAAAAAATCACAATTTTAGTTTAAAAAATGAGAATGATCATTAATCAAAAATGATTTTTTTCCAAAATTAATTTTATATTTTACTATTATTTGTCCTTCTTTCAACCATACAATCTGAACATATTTTGATCTTATTCTATAAAGATTAATGCTTGGTTTATGCTTCGGTCTTAACTCTAAAATCCTAAAATTTAGCCAATAGTGTTACCAGTATTAATTAGTCCTAACTGAAACCTGTATTCCATTGGCTAAATTTTAGGATTTTAAAGTTAAGATCAAAGTATAAACTAGGCATGAGGGTGGTTAACACTGTATACAGGATGATTCTTGCAAAGTGACCGTTTTAATTATTAGTGGATATATGTATGAAAAAATAGTTTATACTAATGTGTTCAGTACAAAGACTTCTCGTATTTCAGGATCACCTTCATTTTTTAAATAGAATTATATGAATTTTTTTGCACAATGTGATTCCTCTAATTATTCTGCATATAAAAATGTTAAGGTAGAAATATAAAAAAAATCAATAATTTATAAGATATGTTAGACATTTTCTTTATTCTGGCACAGATTGACATGAAATGTTAAATAATTCGTAAACTATTAATTTTTTTTATAATCGTACTTTAATACTTTTATGAATAGGATAATAAGATGAATCAATTGATGTAAAAAAAAACATATAATTATTTATTTAAAAAATTATTCATTTTGCCCACATTTTTTTTATAGCAACTATATACTTTCTTTACACGAATTGATTCGTCTCATTATTCTGTTTACGAAAGTATTAAGATACGATTATTAAAAAATTAATAATTTACGAGTTATTCAATATTTTATATCAATATGTGCCAGAATAAAGTATAATTTATTTCATAAACTATTAGTTTTTTGATATTTCTACCTTTTAATGTTTTATACAAAATAATTAGAATTAGAGGAATTGTATTGTGTAAAAAAATTTGTATAATTCCATTTTTAAAAATGTAGTTATCTTGAAATGTCCCCAACATTTTTACCTATATAATAATTGTTTTCTCTTTGTATTGAACACATTGATACAAATCTTTTCATCGATTATTTTATACGAATCATCCTGTATACATATATACATATACAGGGTGTCCCGACATTCGAGGGTAATATTATTGCAATGTAAAACTTTGTATTACTTATGAAATAATAAAAATAAACCATTTTTTTCTGTGAAATAGTTTTTTATAAACGTTTAAAGTTTCATTAATCATAATCATCATGCGTTAATTTATTTAATTAAAAAGTCATCTGTTCATGTGACGTGCGTGCAATAGTATTAAAAATAATAAACAATATATAAATAATAAACAAAACATTGCCGCTGTATGCATACTATCACACAGACAGATGACTTTAACCAACGTTTATGACTAGTCAAACTTTTAACGTTTATATTTAAAAACCTACTTAAAAAATGACTTACGCTTTTATTGTTTTGTGATTTATTGTGTGATTTATTATTTAATTTTTTATAAAGTTTCACATTATTATAACATTGCAAACATTAATATCTTGATTATTATTACGAATATCGCTAAACGGTAAAGGACATTTATTTCGATCCCATCTACCTTTCTGTGAACGGTTGGAGAAGTCTCGCGGGACACTCTGTGTGTGTGTATATATATATATATATATATATATATATATATATAGTAAAAGATGCTCATTATTGATATATAATATATTCCGGGAAAAAATGCTTATTATTGAGCGAGATAGTAAGTTTCATCTTTCTTCTATTCAAACTGCTTTTTGCATGAGATAAGAAGAAGGAATTGTTTCATAAAATCGTTCTATAAATATACTATTCACTGTTCTATTACCTTAAGAAAGAGAAATATGCTTGCTTATGCTGTATATATAATAATATACATAACTATGTAAAAGCATTGAATAGTATCTCATTAGAATAATATCTAATGATACTGATCGGAATGCATGTAGCATTGTCCAATTAATTAATATACATATAATTAATTTCCAAAAATTTTTGTATTATAGTTGATATTTTTGATATCTGATTTAGAATCAAGATGGACACAGTATTGATAGTCATACCGGCATGAGTGGTAATCCAGCGGCTGATTACAGCGAAGGTGCATCTCACGTATTAGCTGTCATTCATCAGATTCTGGGTCATCACAGAGCATTAGAAGCGCGCTGGCACGCTCGCAAAGTCAAGTTGCATCAACGGCTTGCATTAAAGTATGAAAATATTGGGTGTTTAAATAAGTTTTCACCGTTTTTTTTTTTTATGAAATTTTGCTTTTAAATGTTTGCTAACAGTTGATTAATCAATATTTAATGCCTCTACAATTCTTTCAGCGTTTGACATGGATCTTCATCAAGTAATGCTTCCAATTGTTCATCTTTCAATTTTTCGGTGGCACTTTTGTTCTTTATCTTTTATTGGAATTATTATTTATAAAGCATTGAAACTACTCTTTCGGATGGAGCAGCACCTCTCCATACTTCTACAAGCAAATGATAATTTTCAGTTGTACTTTTCTTAACAATAAACAATGCAATAAAATTTTCTGTAAATGCTGTTTTGTTAGTACAAAAATCGATGTTTTCAATGCAATTACAAAAATATTTACATGTCCATCAAATACTAATATGTGAAAGCTTGTGTATAGTACTCTCAAATACAACAGTTGCCATGGAATTATATGCATGTAATATTCGTGATTCTTAGAAAAAACGGCGGAAACTTATTTAAACACTCAATTAATAAAATAAGCTTACTTATTGTTACATCGAAGGTAACGCATACAATTATGATTTTCAGATTATTTCAAGAAGATGTAAAACAAGTTCTTGACTGGCTGACTAATCATGGCGAAGTCTTTATTAGAAAAAATACAGGCGTAGGTCGTAATTTGCAGAAAGCACGCGTCTATCAAAAAAGCCACGAACATTTTGAAAATGTTGCTCAGGTAACTGTTTAGTATATTTACTTTATAATATATAATTTATGATTTTACGTATAATTCTTAAATTTCCATGAACATACTTAACATTTGTTTCATTTGCAGAATACTTACACAAATGCGACTAAGCTTTTAACTGCTGCCGAAGAACTTGCTCACACGGGGGAATGTGCACCTGATGAAATATATGCAGTGGCACAAGAATTGGAGGCCCACGTTAGTAGCTTTGCAGCAAGGGTCGAGCAACGGCGTCGCAGATTAGATCTGGCAGTAGTATTTTATACTCATGAAAAGGAGGTATTTTTACGGATTGATTATATCTAACAAGGCAAATATCAGGATGTGTTGTCTTTATTTTTGCTGAATTACATATCTATTATACATATATTAAGGCAATATAAATTACAATATCGTTACTTTATATGTATAGTTGATATTAGAGATTCCCTCAAGGATCTCCAGTTGGCATAATAAATGGAAAATTCACTAATATTGTTTATGATGGCTAGTGTATTTTCAGTTTGTTAGAAAAAATGCCAAATGTTTAAAACAAATATGTTTATTAAAGATTTTATAAAAAGATTTAAAAAGCTACATTTGCTGTTTAGCGGTTTGAGTTATGTTGTCAAACAATACAGGTTACAATGACATTTTACGATTAAAACTTGAAAATAATTATAAAAGTAAATACAATGATAATAATTATAATAATAATAAATGTAATATTTTTTATATTTATCAGAATTAGTTTAAAAAGCTATTATTATAGTTTGTAATTTTATTTCACAGTACATTACGCTTATTATAATTTTAGGAACGTTCGATAAAATTTTCCAACATTTGAAAGTGCAGCTTGATGCGCTAATATAAACGCTAACTTCTGCCAAACGTTTTGATCAATTAACAGGCTTGAAAAGTCTTGTCTACCGACACATCAAATATCAGATTGAAATATCAGATTAAGATGTCGGACTATAATGCGTACCTCAGCGTACTATCTCTATTTAAATCTTACTTTTACAAATTTTTTTTCATCTGCATTGCAGCGCATTGATAAGATTTTTATTTTTATTATAAAAACATGATTTATTTTTGGAATTATCATTTTCGAACGAACTCTTGCAACAAACGAGAACATTTGTCAAGTTGTTTTTCAGTTTATCATCTTTCTGCAAGTTTGCAGATTACAGGCTTGAAATATCTTGTTTACTGTAATCTTGCATTTTTTTTATTTGCACATTGTATTACTTCGAACGTTAGTTCTCGCTCAACATGAATAACAATCTCAAAATCGTTTCTAATTCTCACAAAGAAAACACAAGTTTTAGCGTGTGTTCGGTATAAAATCAAACACTCTCATACTACAGATATTTTTACTAATTATAAGAAAGAATTGTCTGCGCAGTCGAAATTCGTTGCGGCAAGAATAAAAAAACGTGGCGAAAATAACAGATAATTTGAAATGTGTTTATTGTATAATAAATAAATTCAATTTAATAATATAAATTGCATAATACAACTTAAAATTACATAAATTTTAAACTGTAAACGTTTTTCGTCAAATATAAAAAAAATTTACAGAGACACAATAATACGTTGCAATGCAGATGAAAAAAAAATTGTAAAAATAAAATTGGAAACTAAAATACGTAGCCTTGTATTCGCTTTACTCATTACACCGCACTTCTTTCATAAACAACATGTAAATCTTTAAATGCGTTTTTCTCGCAAGTTGAGCATTTGAGAAGCGCATTCTATAATTTTAACGAATTAATTGCTAAGAAGAGCTAAACTTATATATTATAAGTGTGTGTGTGTGCGTGCGTGTAATTCGACTAAATCGGAAACAATGTATCTTGCTCTCCTCATAAAATTGTTTACAAGTACAAGTAGTAATCTAAATTGTGCAGATATATATATTATATTAACCGTATATGCATGCTAGCCATTTTGAATTTGATTTTGTTTTACAGCTGACCGGTTGGGTAGACGAGTTACGTCAGGAATTGCAACAGGACGAGGTTGCGGAAAATCTAGAGACAGCGGAAAGATTGTTGGAACAATGCGCGCAGCATAGATCGTCCTGTCTTGAGGCATGTGCTTCGACAATAGCCCAGGGCGAAGCTCTGCTACAAGAACTACGCGAGGCAACTGACGCGCCCGACACAACTGGCTCGATATCAGCGGTGGAGTCAGCTTTGGACAGATTGGCAAGTTTGAGACAAGAATTAGAAGACTTGTGGGCGACGAAAAAGCTGAGACTGGAACTGTGCCTACGATTACGCGTGTTCGAGCGCGACGCACTAGAGACTAGCGGTCAGCTGGAGATGTGGGCGCAGGAGCTGCAAGGCCCACCGCGAGAAGGTTCTCCAGAACAGTTGCTACGCGTACACAACGATGGAGTCGCCCATATGCAAAATACCGCTTTCCAAATTCTGCACCGTGGGCAAGAATTGGCGCAAGTTTTAGAGGAAGCAGGGTTGTGTATCATGGCGGACGGTCAGCATAGTGCGGCGGCGCGGGTGCAGGTGCTTCTCGAGTTTTTGAACGAGAGAGAGTTGGATGCAGAGGACCTCGCGGAAATGCGAAGAGTACGGCTAGAGCAAGCCTCTCAATTACTGCAATTGCAGACGGATGCTTCTCATGTGATCAAGTGGATACGAAATGGCGAGTCGATATTACTGGCTTCGCTGAGAATACCAGATGATTTCGAAGATGCTGATCAATTAGGAAAGGAACACTATCATTTTCAACTTGCGATAACAAATACTCATGCGTCTGCCGTGCAAGTGAAGCATAAAGCGGATTCGTTGATAAGCGGAAATCATTACGATCCTAAAAGTATCAGGGAGGTCGCAGAGGATGTTACCAAACGATGGCAGCAACTAGTGACCTGTGCGGAAGAACGACATAAATTAATTACTGCCAGTTTAAACTTTTATAAAACGGTAGACTCGGTACGTTCGGTTCTCGACAGTTTAGAATTACAATATAATGTGGATGACGATTGGTGTGCCGACGGAGAAAAAGCCGCCGGAATACCGGCGAATATCACGAGACACCAGGAGCAAAAGGAAGCTTTCTTAAAGGCGTGCACATTGGTACGGCGAACCGGGGAAACTTTCTTAAAATATATCAATCGTAGTCTACAATTTTACAGCTATCACGCTAATAGCGCCGGTTCCGCAAATAAAGTGAAAAATATTTTGGAGGAGCTAGTTAGTAAGGAAAACAAAGTGCTCGAATATTGGACGCAACGGAAGAAACGCTTAGATCAGTGTCATCAGTATGTTCTGTTTGAACGTAGTGCAAAACAGGCTCTCGAATGGATAAAAGAAACCGGGGAATTGTATTTAGCGACGCATACCAATGTCGGTAAGAATCGCATCGAAAACGAACAACTGTTGCAAGAGCATATCGAGTTTAAAGGTGCAGCGAAGGAAACGAGAGAGAGAGTGAAATTGTTGATTCAACTCGCTGACAATTTAGTCGAGAGAGGTCATGCTCATGCCGCGGCGATCAAACAAGCCGTTGCCGAAGTCGATCAACGATACAAAGACTTTAGTACGCGAATGGATTGTTATAAGACACAAATCGAAGGTGATCTAGGTATTCAGTCTGACGAGGTACATAGAGATCTATCGATCGATCGGAATTCGGATCCATTGCTGGAAGAGAAGATCAAGGGTAAAGATCTGAAAGAATTGAACGAGGAAAAGAGAAGATCTGCACGAAGAAAAGAATTTATTATGGCTGAACTGTTGCAAACTGAACGTACATATGTGAAAGATTTGGAAACTTGTATCCGTTGCTTCTTGGATGAGACGCGATGCGGAAAGGGAAATGTTCCGATGGGTTTACAAAGTCGAGAATCGATTATTTTTAGCAATATAGAGGAGATACATCAGTTTCATAGCAATGTCTTTTTACGCGAGCTAGAAAAATACGAAACCATGCCAGAGGATGTGGGACATTGTTTTGTAGTGTGGGTGAGTTTATTTTGTCACATTGATATTTAATTAGGAGGACAACATATAATACATACATATATTTGTATCTCGTATTCCAGGCACCTAAATTTGACATGTACGTTACTTATTGTAAGAATAAACCCGAAAGCAATCAACTATTAATAACGCATAGTGGAACGTGGTTTGAAGAATTGCAGAGAAAACATAGAGTGGAACATCCTATCGCTGCATATCTAATCAAACCTGTACAGAGAATTACCAAGTATCAGCTGTTACTCAAGGACTTGCAGGTATTCGCATCTGTGTTGTGTATATGTATATACATATATATATATATATATATATATATATG